AAGAGGCAGGAGGGGTTGCTGCACAGCAACATCTATCTGAGACAGGTCCAGGCTCACCATGGACAGACTGGTCCATGGATGCCAGCGCAGCCTCTGTCTAAAGGGAGTGGAGGAGCACATGGATTGGACAGAAACATCTCTTAAGGTAGTAACTATTAATAGAGATTCTCTATGTTCTAGTAGAAGGAGATGGAAGATGATAAAATATGGGTAAAATCAGATGAGATATAATCACATGAAAAAGAGTGCCATTGAAACACATCAAGTAATGGCAGACCGCTAAATAGTGAAATTTTTAAAGCGCTTATACACAAATACTAGAAGTCTAAATAATAAGATGGGTGAACTAAAATGCCTTGTATTAAAGGACAATATTGATATAGTAGGATCACAGAACTTGATGGAATGAAGACAATCAATGGGACAGTCATACCAGGTACAAAATATATTGGAAGGACAGAATAAGTTATGCTGGTAGGGAAGTGGCACTATAAGTGAAAAAAATGTAGAATCAAATGAAGTAAAAATCTTAAATGAACCAACATTTTCCAAAGAATCTCTATGGATAGTAATTCCATGTTCTAATAATAAGAATATAGCAGTAGTGGTATTACTGACCACCTGACCAGGACAGTGATAGTGACTATGAAATATTAAGGAAGATTAGAGAGGCTATAAAAATAAAGAACTCAAGAACAGTGGGGGATTTCAACTATATTCATATTGACTGGGTACGTCACCTCAGGATTAAATGCAGATACAAAATTTCTTGATACCTTAAATGACTGCTTCTTGGAGCAGCTGGTACAGGAACCCACAAGGGCAATTCTCAATTTACTCCTGAGTTGAGCGCAGGATCTGGTCCAAGAGGTAACAGTAACAGGATCACTTGGAAATAGTGACCATAATAGAACAACATTTAACATTCCTATGATAGGAAGAACACCTCAGCAGCCCAAGACTGTGGCATTTACTTTCAGAAAGGGGAACTATGCAAAAATGAGGAGGTTAGTTAAATAGAAATTAAAAGGTAGAGTGACTAAAGTAAAATCCCTGCAAGCTTCATGGACACTTTTCAAAGATACCATAATAGAGGCCCGACTTAAATGTATACCCCAAATTAAAAAAACCCCACAGTAAAAGAACTAAAAAAGAGTCACCGTAGCTTAACAACCATGTTAAAAAAAAAAAAAAAAAAAAAAAAAAAAGAGAAAAAAAAAAAAAGAA